ATATATCGATAAAATCTCGCGCGCGAACTAAAAATTTCGATAAAATAGCATACACTGTGTGCGTGCTCTTGCCTATCTTTTATCGTCTTTTTTTGTATTTTTCTCGTTCCGTTTCACGTTGTTCGACCGATCAGGCACATGTTGCCTTGAAAGCAGATTTCACATCTAGTCCGCTTTCCGAGCAAAAAGATGTTTGGCTTTGGTTGGTGTTTATTACATGCTCTGCTAATTCATTCCTCTATCGGTGTATTCGTCGCCTCTAAGCTAGATTTTGCCTCAACCACAGGACTACCGTCCTTGGATAGCAAAACACTAGAGGTTCTCCATGCAAACGGATTGCATGGAGAAGTGGTTGGACGAGCAGCGGAGCATCGGCGAGAGTGTGGAATTGTCCTGCTAGGTACAGATCTATAGCTGATTTTGCTTGAACCTATGATTACATAAAAGCGTTGGTTAGCGTTAATGTGAAGTGAAACTGTAACTCTCAGATTACACAAGTTACACAAATGGCTTGATGTTTGACGGGGTTCTTAAATCGTTCGAAGAAACGTTAACGGACAACAATACGCTGATGAGACGCTGCGCGAGAAGGTGAGTTTTACTGATTTGCAAAGTAGACAGGTGAAAATCGCTCAAAACTGGGTAATAGTACCCTATTTAGTTTTATAAAACACTGAAAGAAGAGGCGGTGAAGTCGCATACGAATGAGATGCGAAAAGCGTTTGAAAAATATGCGAGCATCATGCCGTACTATAAGTAGGTTTTCAAGGGATTTCTCTGAGCAGTTATAGGCTTTATATAGAAATCCCATTCAGTACGAGCCAACTGAAATTCTTCCCTGGTATAGCGCTTATCGGTATTGGAATAGGAATCGGTCTCGGCAAGTTTGTGTATGATGGAATAACGGGGTTGATCCACAGGTTCAGTGAGGAGGAACAGCGACATAAGGTGAGCAGCCTTTTGTCGCTTTTTTCTACGGCCTAACAATGGATAAAACATCTGATTAAGCGAGTGATGAAGGAGCTGATTGAACTGAATAAGAAGGTGCAGGACTTGGCAGAAATCCTCGATTTCCAGACGTCCTCGTGAGTGAATTTTGGAGGAAGTTTCCTCCAATCTCGCTTACTATCTATATCGTGGA